TTTTTCCCCCCCCCCCCCCCCAGCTTTTCTTAAGAGTTTGCCATCATGATGTTTTTCTTTTCTGCAAGCATACAACCAAATTATTGCTCTCATTGGGTTCCAAATGATCTTAGTTGCTCCCATTTGCAGGCTGCATGGCACCTGCTAACTCTTCAGGTAAGTGATATTAAAAATGGTTTAGAGAGAGATGGATCCTTTCTAGAAAGGTCTAAGATTTACTTTAAGAGCATTAGACTTGCTGGAATACAGGGGCTATAGTGGTTTATAATTGAACAGGAGTCAACAACATCATAAGCAAATCCATACCTCTTTCTAAGATATATAAATGGAATTGACAGGTATATGACAAATGAAATAATCCTGCTATTGTACTCAGCACTGATAAGGCCTCAAGTAGAGAACTGGATGCAGTTTTGGGTACCAAATGTCAATAAAAATAAGAACCACCTATAAAGAGTCCTGCAAGGTCTAAAGAATGGGAGGTCTTGAGAGCATGATTCAAGAGGCAAGATAGAGTGAATTGGGCTAATTTAGTTTAGGGAAGGGAAGACTAAGGCAGACATGATAACATTCAAATTATGTAAAAGGTTGCTGTCAAGAAGATTGCAAACTGATCTCCATCTCCCTTGGAGGTAGGATGAGAAGAAATAGACTTATGCTGCAGCAAAGGAGATTTAGTTTTAAACATTAGAAATAATTTTCTAACTGTAAGAATAGTTAAGTAGTGGAACAGATTCCTGTGGAGAATGTGGTATCTCCATTCTAGTTTATTTAAATAAATGCATATCACACTATGGACACTTTTAAATTAGTTGTGGGGGGGACTCTAAAAGATACTTATTAGTTTCCTTTCTCTCCCATGTTCAGATTGGGGAAAAAGTATTAAGATTTTTAAGAACAGGTGAAATAAACATTCATCAAGAATGGCTTAACTATAGTTGATCCTGCGTTGGGAGATGATCTGTCAAGAACCCTTCCAGCTCTATGAAAAGAATCTGAGGATGACAGGCTGAGTGTGTCTACATGAGACATTTGCTGTAGAGTAGACTATTTAGCTCCTCAGTAAACTTCTCACATCCACATATGCAGGGCTATTAGGCCACAGGAAATAAATAAACTCTGCAGCAGGGTAGTATTTTTAAATACAAGTACTATCTTACTGCAGTTATTTACAGCAATATGCATGCAGACACTGACCCAGGTTTAAATTGCTCTGTCAGCCCAGGTAGGGGAGAGTCACGCTCCTGCTTGCTGCCTAGCCACATGGCCCAGCCAGCTCTTCCACCACCTGACGCAGCCCCCTGCTAACTGGGCCTAACCCCCTGCCAGCCCAGGGCTGCTTCCCATCTCTTACCGGACCCCGGGCAACACTGCCAGAATCCAGGGCTGATCCCCATACATCCTGCCAGTCTGGGGCTGACACCTGAGCAGCTACAGTTGGAGCCTGGAGCTCCCCTTGACTGCTACAGGGGTGCAGAGCAGGGCAGGAGCATCCCTTGCTTAAACTGCTCCTCCCCAGCTCAATTTGCTGCTGTCCTGGGCACATATATAGATGCTGCACCCATGAGTAGTTTGCTGCAGAGCAGATTGTTCCACGGTTTATTCATGCACATTAATTGCACATGTAGATACGCCCAGTATGTACTGTCACCCTGTTTTGGAGAAGAGTAACTGCCTTATTTACCTGGTACTTTGTTCTTCTTTTAAAGAATATAAGTATTGATTTTGTTCACTCCAGTTTACACCCCCCCCATTAGATAAATTTGCACTGGTGTAATGATAGTAACGTAATCACATAGGTTCAAGCAGTATAGCCACACAGTCATCTTTGCATTACAAGGCTGTTTTTCCGTTACATTCCTATAAGTCATACCAGTGCAATTTTTAAATAGAGACATGCCCTCAGTGGGTTCCTTTGAGGGAGCTGCACCATCATAAGCTATATTTCATATCAGCGCTAATCTACAGTGGTGTCTCTACCACTATAAATGCTAAAACTCCTGCTTATTTCTAAACCATCAACATGTCACACTGAAGGGGGGGAAGAGAAATTATATCAATAATATCACAATTTAACATGCATTATTTTAAATGCTTTACAAACATGAACCGATTCACAGAACCTCAGTAAAATGGGAATTATCCTTGTTTTACCAAGGAGGAAACAAGAACAGAAAGGGGTCAGTGTACAGCTGGTATTTGAATTCAGGATTCCTAGTCATTCCTCTGAATCACATGGATGGATTGTCAGTAGGATTGTATCATCAGTAGTACAATATTGTGTTATTTTCCCAACCTAGCAGATGGTCCCCATTTTGGGATTTCAGCTTTTACTATCTTCATTAACTGACTCTAACAAATGACATGGTATTCCTGTCTTTCATTCTGATCCTTATGTATTTTAGTTATTACAAGTCTGAATGCTTTATCGCTAAAAAAACCCTTCTTTTAAAAAAAAATTAGTCTTTTAAAAATTATTGGAGTGTTGTGTTTTAAGTCTTTTGGGTTTTTTGAAAATCTGTCTTCCTTCCTGTCTGCCTGCACTTTTGTGGGGACAAGAAGATGGAAGAAGACTAATAGGTACAGAGATTGAAGGGAAATTCTATGCTGTTCTGGATGCACTGCTCTGGTGCACTGCTTAAAGAAATGCAGATCAGGACTGCTGTTGGGTTACAGAAATCATGAGATTGAGAACCTACAAGTTAGTTTAGTTGTTTAAATATTTGCTTTCTCTATGATATTTAGTAAATTAATTAATAGCATGACCATGACTGGGACATAAACCCATTGTTGGAAATCAGTTTTCCTAGTTTACTTTAATATTTTTTTTGTTTGCAGTTGATTGCCAAGGCTGAAAGATTGAGACTAGAAAAGGCACAACAGTCAACTCAGCACATCCGCTTCTCTGAAGATGAGTAACCAAGGCTGATTGTATTCTGTGAAAGGATTTTTTTAAGTAGGCACTGGATATTTTAACTTAACCATAAACTGTAATGAAGAACTCAAAAACAATACACTTGTATCAAAAACAATACATTTGCGTCAACAATACATTTGCGTCATACATTTGCGTCATAATAAGAGTGCAACAACAAAGATTGTTTTTAAAGGCTGAATGTTTACTGCTCCTGAGCCTGTAGATAAAGCTTTCTGGAAAAAAAATGTATTAAACAAAACTTGCTTTGTTTCACACTTAGATTTATTTCTGACAATTTTTGTATATTACAGTTTTATAAGGTAGGTTACAAAAAAGACCAAATAAAATATTTTAGAAATCCACTATATTTGTTTGACTTCTTTTATTTTTAAAAAGCTATGAAAGTGTGTATTATTGGTGACATTTAAATGGTTGGCCTCTGCTTCCTCTACATAACAATGGAAAAGCACATTAAAAGGATTAAACTTCCAGTAAAACACTGATGCATAATTTGTCAGCTCATATAATTAAATTCAAGTCAAAATGTTGAAGTTACACTGTGTTAAGCTGTTACTTTTCAGCTTGCTAATTTTTTCATGGAACTGGTATAAACATATATAGCATATAACACATGAATATATATTCTATAATTACACAGTCCATTATATAAGTTTGCATATTCCATGTAACTGCCTTTATATACAAAATTAATCCTATAGCAAGAATTTGGCACCAAGTTTTGTGAGCCTATCTCTGAGGAATTCCAATAAAATCTTTTGATTTGTTGTTTCAGAATTCCAGATCCATAAATCATTCTTTTTTTTGTGACTAAGTTTACAGATTGCATGATGTGGTTTTTCATTGTAGGCTGGCAGTATAAAAGTTTATGGAGTAATTTTCAGCTGAGTTGTAAAGAGATGACCTACCCAGCCTGTAGGCTTTGAAAGGGGCTACAGGCTGGCCTGGGGTGTATGCTGCCAAAAGATGATGTTCAAGGGAGTGCTTTGGTATTGCCCTTCCGTAGGGACAGGGTGGGTTTTTTTGTGTTACCTGTTCTAATTGAATAATATGTTTCTTTTGAGGGGAAGCAGTTTTGAGAACACCCAGAGCCTGCTCACAAAGGGAGGTATGGCTTGGGAATAGGGGAGGCTAGGGAATGAGAGTAGATAGGGATGGGAGGGAGTATGGGCAGGAGGGGGGATTTTGTTTTCTATGAAGTAAGTTGGGAATCAAGGTAAAGTTGGGCAGGAAGATGTGAAAAGTGGATGAATTGCCTTTAGTGGGGCTTGGGGAAGTTTGTTTTGTTGTACCTTCTTATTTTAGTAATGCTCTGGTTTCTCTTCAAATCGCATACATTTTAGAGTTACACTTATAAACCATCAATCCTGGTCTTAGAAATTCTTTCTCCATTAATGTAAGTGAAGGTCACACCTTTGTGCATTGTTGTTTCATTGTTTCTGACTGCAGAGGAAACAAGACACTAACGCATTGATTCATGAAGTGTAAAAGTTACTTGCAAGCAGAAGGATAAAGACTTTTTTTAAAAATAGAAGTACATTCCCAAAATCTCAGCAAAATCTATTGACAGAAATAAAACCAGTGACATTCATAGCTTTTTCTGTGCCATAGATTTGATTACATTGGGTAATATAGGTTGTCATTATTTGACAGGTCTCTTCATACTAGGAAAATACAAGGAGCAGTGTGGGTTGTTTGGGCTATGTACAGTGTGGTAGTGACATCAGTCTGTTTCGATTGCCCTGTAGACATGAGCCTCCCTAGTGGCACTTCATGACGCAAGACCCAAAATGCACAGCTGTCAGTGGCTTCTAGTGTTACACAATCCCAGGAAAGAAAAAACAAATGAGGGCATGAGGGAGAAAATGGTGTACCCACACCAAGCACTTTAGAGAAATACAAGCTACACAACGCTGCCCTAGCAACCCTAGTGAACCACTGTAAGATGCAGGAGGTGGTAAGGGTAAGAGGCACCATATTGCCCATAGACTTACTACCTGATGATGGCTGCCAGGCTGTGTGGGAGCAAAACTTCCACAGGGACGTGCAGAAGGAACACAGAGACCTGAATTGGCGGGCAGCCCACTGGACACTCCCTGTGTGGGCATGGAAAAATAGCGCAGGGCAGAGAGGTCCATCAAACTGCCCAAGACAGACCTGCTGCTGGCAGGCAGAAGCAATTGACCACCTCTTCTGGGACTACCCATACGCTAGAGAGGTGTGGAAGAAAATCCATGCGCTCCTGGTGGTGACAGGTTTCAGAGATCTGACCAGGAACGCAGTTCTCTACAGGCACCTGACCAGACATCAAGGGACCCTGTCAGCTTGCTTCAACCAGTTTCTATCCTGCTTCATGTACACACTGTGGAAAGCCAGGGACCTGCTCATAAATGCACTCAGACCTCACAGTTGTGGACTGTATTAAAATGGGATTAAGTGAAATGTACTGGTACTACAAGAAGATAGAAGAGGATGATGGGAAAGAAATAACAGACCACATCTGGTGGAGAGGGGTCTGGCATTGACTTTTTCAGGGGCAAACCCTCTGAGGAGGGCAATGGATGGGGTTACGGGTATGGATACACAGTGCAAACTGTGTAATGGGCTTTTAGTGTGCTTTGTGAACCACAAATGCCACTTGGCAGAGTGTTGGAGGTAAAGTTTTATATAACATTTGCACACAAAGAAAAAACAGCCAACGGAGTTTATCAGAGGAGGGGTGATCTTAAACTAGTCAAGAGAGGAAGGGAGCAGAGGAAAGGAGCAATGGAAACAGGGGAAGCTCTGTGTAGGGGAGGCATCACTTATGCAGCAAGCCTCAGGAGCCATTTATATGTGCTAACCCGTAGGGTCATGCAGTTCTTTGGCACAAGCTTTGGTCCTTTATGCATACAACATAGTATAGCCTGAGAGCTGCCAGTGGCTCTGATCCTCATCCCAAGCAGCATGTAGAAATGCCTCTCTGGAGAAAGAGGAATAACGGGAAAATGTAGGGGAGTGGAGAAGAGGCAATAGTTGGATCAAATAGAGATTACAAAAAATACATAGGAAAAATGTAAGAGAAAAGGTTAAAAAAAACTGGGTAGAAAGCAGACAACATGACAGTTCTAGGACATTTTAAAAGGAGTACCAAGTCATCACAAGCAGGATTCTAGGAGGGGGAAAGGCTAGGCATAATGAGGTTTTTGTTTTGTGTTTAAATCCTGTTTACTGGAAAAGGGGTTTTGCCAATATTTGACATTTTCTTATTTTGCAGCTTTCAGTACATTGTAAAGTTCTAGTAGCCTCTGGAGGTGCTTGTTTTTATGCCTTCAAATACAGCAGAACATATATCAACAAAGTATGGGCCACCTGTTAGACTGGCTTAAGTCTTTATAAAAATACACAATAGTTAATATCTTCCTCATCTCTCTCTCTATTGTCCTGTGCTAAAATAAAATTCTGTCTGATAAAGACATACTTATCAGGCTATCACACGTCTGAAACCTTTTTACATCATTTTCATCTTACTTAGGAGTGAACCTTCTAACCTTTATCTGGAACCTTTACCTGAGGTTGTCCTTTGGTTTGTACTAGGGACATTTTACTGTCTATAACTTTAATGCTCTTAGCACTTGGAATTTAGATCTTGAGTATATCTCTTAGGTAAAACTCCAAAGAGGGCAATTCCAAGTTTTTGTTTTTGTTGTTGCAAGGTAAAAAATACTACCATTCCATTGTTCTGAAATAATGCCTTTTGTTTCAGAAAAGAACTGTCGCTATAATGTCTCATGCTGCAAGGGAATCTAATTTTAGGGCGGTTTCACATTTTTTTGCTGATCTTTCACCCTCCTTAGCTTGTTTAGTTTAAAGAGCATAGTTCATGGTTATTCCTGGAGCAAAATCTTGAATTTACATAATTTTTACCAGTTTAATGATTTTCAGTAGGTTTTGCCATTTCAAACATGTTGGTTCTGAGCATGTTTTTAAGGCCATTTGTGTATCTTACCCAGCTTTCCTATTAGATGCAGAAATCAGACAATATCTGAAAGGGATCTTGGAGTCATTAGTGACTCCAAGATGAACATGAGCCGACAATGCGAGGTCACGGTTGGCAGGGCTAACCGGACCTTGTTGTGCATCCACAGGTGCATCTCTAGCATGGCCAAGGAGGTGATCCTCCCCCTCTATGCAACACTGGTCAGGCCACAGTTGGAGTACTGCGTCCAGTTCTGTGCGCCCCACTTCAGGAGGGAGGTGGACAACATTGAGAGGGTCCAGAGGAGGGCCACCCGCATAATCCAGGGACAACAGGGCAGACCCTACAATGAGAGACTGAGGGACTTGAACCTGTTCAGCCTTCACAAGAGAAGGCTGAGGGGGGACCTGGTGACCATCTATAAACTCACTAGGGGGGACCAGAAGGGTTTGGGAGAGACCTTGTTTCCCCTAGCGCCCCCTGGCATAACAAGGAATAACAGCCACAAGTTGTTGGAGAGTAGGTTTAGATTAGACATCCATAAGAACTACTTCACAGTTAGGGCGGCTAGGATCTGGAACCAACTTCCAAGGGAAGTGGTGCTGGCTCCTACCCTGGAGGTCTTTAAGAGGAGGCTTGATGCCTACCTAGCTGGGATCATTTGAGCCCAGTTTTTTCTCCTGCCCAGGCAGGGGGTTGGACTTGAAGATCTACAAGGTCCCTTCCGACCCTACTTCTATGAAGCTATGATCTGAGCTAACTGAGGCCTTTGGGTGTTCCTACCAGACAAATGTTAGTAACAATGACTTGGTTCTTTAAAATAATCCAGAGATGGAAAAATGTGAATTAGCCATGCATGAAACACCTAGATAAGTGTCTTAGCAGGAGAATTTGGTTTCTAGGGTTCCTGATGCTTTATGAAGGATTTCTCACAGGCCATCTGCTTTAGAAACCATTGTTTTTGTATTCTCTGACTCAGCAGACGTCATCATGCCAGTGGGTTTTCCAGCCATGCCACTTTGCCCAGGTAGCTTAGTTTTTTCAGAAGGCCTATCCAGGTTTTGTACTGTTAAAATATTTTACTCTAGAAAGCTTCCAGACTTTTTCAGGTGTCTACTTGTAGGTTATAGATAGAAAAGTCCTATGCATAGAGCAGTTATTTGCTGAACAATTCCCTCCCTAGCAAAGTCTGTTAACCGTGTGTGTTTGACAGCACTGAGACACCAACCAAGAATGAGGCCCCATCTTTCTCTCCCCAAAAACAATTATAACTAATTGTATGGAACCGTAATATTCAGAGGCATAACAAGGTAGCCATGCACCTGCGGCTGCTGCGTCGCACAAGGGCTTTGACAACTTCCAGCTATTGTGACACCACTGTAAGTG